AAAAAACTAAACCCCCCAAATGTGAATGCTTGCATGTGTAACTGTGCTGAGGGGGTGACTGCACGCCTGCTAATCTGTCTGCTTTCCAGAGTGACACCAAACAGGTCATCTGAGCCAAGCCACAGCCACTCTCATGGATTTCTTCTCTTTTCCCTTCAAGCTCAAGCTATAAAAGCCAAAGGTCCAGTGTCTATCCCATACCCACTCTTCCAGTCCCACGTGGATGACTTGTACGTGGAGGGGCTGCCAGAAGGGATCCCCTTCAGGCGGCCGTCCACCTACGGCATCCCCCGCCTGGAGCGGATCCTGCTGGCCAAGGAGCGCATCCGCTTCGTCATTAAAAAGTAAGGACTCCCCCTGGCCTTTGGCCCTCTGCTCCTGCTCCTCTGCTGCTTCATCTTCATGAACCTCCACACTGATTTCTCCCGACGTATTCTGCAGTACTGATGAGTAATTTTTAGCTGGCGTTGGCTCTGATAAGTTGAGCTTATCAGGGCGCCACAGTGGTGGCTCAGATCTGCACAGATCTCTTCAGTAGTGTGGGCTCCTTGTCCTGGGCAGACCTCTTTGTGCTGTTTTATTCTCTGTGGCTGTCGTACAAGTTGAAAGCCACTGACTTGGGGATATTTTATGCTGTCTGAGGCCAAAATAGCTACTGGTTCCTGTGATTTAGTTGGATGCCTGTCTTTGGTGTGTGTGGAGGTAGGTCAGGATCTATGGATGCCAAGTGCTGGATCTCAGAGCTGCTAGTGGGTCTTCAAATATTTACTTTCTGTAAAGCACCGTGTTTTTTGGTGCTTCACTTCAGTCAGATGTGATGTTTCCAACCACAGATGGGCATTTACATCCTAAATGAAGCTTCTGAATAACAGCTGGTGTTTTACTGTTGTTCAGTGGTGTAGGATTTAAGCCAAGAGTTCTTGTGGGTAGGAATCTGCTGATGGCCATGGTCGAGCTCAGAACTGGTGGTGGTGACAGCCCATGCTGCCTTCAGCATGGCTGCTGGTTTCCCAAATTTGAGAGGTCTACGTTCAGTTTCTGTCATCCTAATGCTTGCAGGCAACCAGAAGAGAGAGAGAAGTGTAGATCTACCTTTTGTCTCTCTTAAAATCAGACACTATGCATAGATTTTAATCTTCATGCAGTTCTAGCACCTCCTCTTGTCAAATTTGTCTTGGTTATTAACAGTAATTAATTGATGCTGTTAATCACTTTTGCAATGTGTGGTAACCAGGGCAGCTCAAAATGGAGCTCTGTGAGAAGTATCAAAATTTTAAATTCTGTTGATCTAATATATACTTCTAATATAAATAGATGTATTTGGGAATCAGAAATGTCTGTTTTGAGATGTTCATTTTTAAAGGTTAATTTTTTGATTTGGATCTGTTCCTGATGAAGTGTGTCTCAGAGATAATTTTCATGTAATCTGGATGCCACCATTAAATGCTAGAGCTCAGGATATGGGTATTGGGCATGAAAACTGGTTTTGCCAGCAGGGTCCCAGCCAGCTCTTATAATACTTTGGTGTTAATTGGAATTTAATGTTGAGGATTGTGCTGTTTTTTTGATTATTTTTTTTTCTGATTCTTCAGTGGTAACTTGAGGCTGTAACTGCTGGTTTATCAGAGTGTCTGTCACTGGCTGAAGCACATATCTTAAATCTTTTAGGCATGAACTTTTGAATTCCACACGAGAAGATGTTCCACTGGATAAACCAGGTGCAGGAGGTAGGTCTTCAGTGTGTGAGCTGGGCAAGTGCAGCCTGCTTCCCTGTTTGCCAGTGGCCACACTTTGCTTTGACTCATAACACACTGCACATTGGTTTGGATTGTCTTCAGCTACAAAGTGACAGCAGTTTTCCCACTGGCTATCCAGGGCAGTGTGGCTAACAGTCTATCAGCTGATTTGATTCAGTTGCCCAGAAGGAAAATCAAGGATTTAAGTGTTAGACTGCTGAGATACAGACAAAAGGCAGTAGTGCCCATAGCTGGTAGAGTTCACTGGGTAGGGAACTGTCCGTGTCATGGAGTAATATATGGTATCTCCCAAAATTAGGTTAACTGAAACAAGGCTACAAAGTAGATTTTTATTAAAACTGTGCCCTTGAACTCATTTCCTCTCAAGCTGGAAGAAGAAGGTTTAGGATTGGGAAAAAAAAAAAACAGGTTTTGAAAGAATTGTCTTTGCATGGGCACTAGTTGGTAAATTATTTTCCTGGACTTGTTTTTTCTCTTCCATTGTATTCTACTGTCTCTTGGGCTTCAGGGTGGTTTTTGTAATTGTCCAATCAAGCCAAGTGTTGAAAGCTTGTGTGCCTGGGCCAATGGTAGCTAACAAATTGCTCTCAGCCTCCAGTGCTAACTGGCAACCTCAGCCTGGTTGAACTGTGAGTTTTTAGGAATACCAGAGAAATCCTTAATTCAGACACAAGAGTGTCAGTAGTAGCATCTGCACTACTGCAGCATCACTGTGTTGTGTTATATACTCACAGTCTTCCATTGTAAAAAGTGTATCAAAGACTGTACTTAAACATTAAGGATCTAAATTAGGCAAAGAAATTGCCATAAGGATGTCACTGTAGCGTGTGTAGGGTTGAAACTTTTCTTTCACTGTAAGTTGAACTATTGTCTTGAGTCTTAATAATCTACTGCTCCTTTGAGCACCAAATTTGACTACAAAAATATTAGGTAGGCTAATGACTGAATCTTAAACTTAACTGCACTCTTATGTGGGTTTTTTAGTCCTTTTCTCTGTTGTTTTTGTTGTATTTAATACGGGTATGCTGAGTATGAAGACAAAGCAGGTGCATTACATAGCCCATAAACCCCCTGTAGCTGAGAAAACCAGTGGTAACCCATTTTTCTGGCAGTGTTAGGAACAGTCACTCTATGTTCTTGTCTTCACTGACTCGTGATGATGGTATGTTCATGCCAGACCTCTGTGTTATCTTTCTGAGAAGAGGACGTGTGTGAAAGCTATTGGTAACATCTCAGGGAACACAGCTCAGAAGACAGCAGCTGCCTGAGCCTCCTTTCCCTCAGTTTTTTCTCCCTGTTTGAATTCCTTCTTTCTCACCATCTCCTCTGCAGATGGTTATGGAGCAGAAGCTGTTGCTGGTGCATGCTGACTAGACCCCCAGCATTGGCAGCTGTCTGGTATCTTGTTCAAGAGTGATGAGCCAGTGATGAGCCTCCACTTGCTGGTCACAAAGTCTTATTCAGAAGAAAAAGGGATTTATGTGACATATGCTTTGATCCCTGTCACCCAGCACTTAAGGGACAGACAGGTTCTTCTAGAGATCCCTGGCAGAGTGATGGTGGCCCTAAATTGTCATTACAATTAGAGCTTTATATTTTAACAGGATATTATAATTAGTATAGCATATAATTTCTGGTTGGTATGGGGCAGGACTTCTATAGGCAGCATCAATGTAGCACAATTTATAAGTAGCATGATACAGAATTTATAATACAACTCAACCTGTGGTTTCTGATCACCCAGAGCCTCTGCAGGTTGAGTCAGACCTTAACACAGGACTTGCTGGATCAATATAATAATAATCCAGACTAAAAATGATATAAAAGAAGACTAGTCACTTGATCCTCAGATGAAGCAGAGGATGGTGGAGGTGTCCTGGCCACTGGTGGGGCTTGAACTCCAAATCTGTGTGTATATCAGCCAATGAGCAAAGATGTCCAAGGGATGGAATAATGGAAAAACTGTCTTTAATCCTATTTTATTGACCAGGATATTCTAATTTACAATTTACACCTGGTGGGTGCTGGGTCTAAAATTTTCCTAGTTCAAAGTTGAACCTATGCTTCTTCCAAGTAGTATTTTCTGGATTACCTGAAAATGCAGGATGGTTCTACATGCTATAAAACAAACAACTGAAAATACAACCAAAATAATTAGGAAATATTGTTTTTTCCTCTGTATAATTCTCAAATACAGTGAAAGAGGAGTGGTATGCCAGAATCACCAAACTGAGAAAGACAGTAGATCAACTCTTCTGTAAAAAGTTTGGTGAGTATAGTATTGTTTTATTTGAGTTTGGTTTATGGCTTTTTATTTCCTGAAGGTTGCTTTCATTCTTGCCTTTGAATGTCTACATGAATGAGACCTTTGATCAGATTTTTCAAATTTTTAAAATTCTGGCAGTTGAGTGAGAAAGAATTTATTAATCTACTGCTTCTTCAACAAGGTATAGTTAAAATGATAAGTCTTCTATGTACAGCTTTTCTAATTGCTCTCAATCCCTTCCTTTTAGGAGCTTTTTCTTTGATGGTGAATAAAAGAAGAATTTACTTATTTATATCCATTACCTTATCATTAAAATTAATATTAGAACATTCCTGGGTGAATTTTTCTCTTCTCTCCAACACAGAAAAAAAGTAGCCAGCTTCATAAGAACCAGAATAAAATGTTGTGTGATGCTCTGTGACAGATGAAAAACTTGGGGTAGAAGCCCCAGTGAGGAACCCAGTCATCTTCAGTCTAGCCTTGTCACTGCCCAACAGCAGCATGGTACAGCATGAGGTTTAGATGTGCTGAGATTTGGACTCTGCTGGGTTTAGATATCCTACACTGTCCCAGGTTCCAAGGTCAGGACTGCAACAGCCTGAAGAACTGGTAGCTTAGCTAGCAGTTCATGAACATTGATGGCCAAACTGTCCAGTCACTGGATTTATTTTGTTCTAACAGCTGAATCAGGACTGCAACAGCCTGAAGAAGTGGTAGCTTAGCTAGTATTTTGTGAACATTGATGGCCAAACTGTCCAGTTACTGGATTTATTTTGTTCTAACAGCTGAGGCCCTGGGGAGCACTGAGCCTAAAGCTGTTCCATACCCGAAATTTGAGGCCCATCCTACTGAGCTCTGTGTTGAAGGGCTGCCAGAGAGCATCCCCTTTAGGAACCCCTCCTGGTATGGCATCCCTCGCCTGGAAAAAATAATTCAAGCAGGCAACAGAATAAAATTTGTGATCAAAAGGTAAGAGTTTGTTATAATGCTTGAATGTGTTTGTTTTATTTTAAGAGGCCAAATAAATAGGCTTTATTTAATCAAGCGCTTGGTTTCATTAAATCAAGTTAAAGTAGACAGATAAAATATTCTGCTTTGTGAAGTTTTGCAATCTAGACAGGTCTTCCAAAATACCTTTGTACCTATTCACAAAGTGTGAAATACATAATAGAAAAATCCAGACTTTTAAATTCATAGAATCACAGAATTGTTTTGGTTGGAAGAGACCTTTGAGGTCATCAAGTCCAACTGTTCCCCCAGCACTGCCAGGTCCCCACTGCCCCGTGTCCCTCACACCACATCTCCACAGCTTGGAAACCCCTCCAGGGGTGAGGACTCCACCACTGCCCTGGGCAGCCTGGCACAGCCCTGGATAGCCATTTTGGGGAAGACATTTTTCCTAATATCTGACCTAATAAACCTTCCCTGGGGCAACTTGAGGCTATTTCCTCTTTTCTATCACTTTGTTCCTTTGGAGAAGAGCCTGACCCCCACCTGGCTCCAGGCTCCTGTCAGGGAGTTGTTGAGGGTGAGAAGGTCTCCCCTGAGCCTCCTTCCCCCCAGGCTAAAAGTTGTGTGATGCTAAGTAGTAGTGTTTGATTTCTGTCAAGACTGGGCAGATGATGTGTTCTCTGGTTGCAGGCCAGAACTGCTGACTGTCACTGCACCTGAAGTTATTCAACCCAAGTCCAACACCCCAGGTAAGACAGGTGCTGTCTCCAGGTAGGATGTGGTGGGGAAACACATTTGAACCAATGCAACATATTTCAAGAAGTAATCCTTCAGTGATGAGGGTGCTGATGTGCTCCTCATGAGGTCTGCAAGGAATAAATTGATCATTATGAACACAGATGACTTCTGGGTTGTGGTGCAGCCCAGCTGACTTTGAGGAACTACAGCAGTTCAGCTTCCCAGCCTGGGAGAACTGGAGCTAGTCCTGGCCTGACTCAAAGCCCTGCAGCCCCTTAGCATTTCACAGCTGGCTGTGGTGGGGTTGTCCAGACCTCTTTGGGTAAGGAGTTGAAATGAATTCATGGAAGTATGAAGTGCCTTTAACACAGGAGAAGAATTAGGTTGGGTTTTATTCCTGAATGCTCTGAATTGGAGTTCCTTGCTACAGAAGCATACAATTCAGGTCTCATTAGGTTTTTTAGGAGTATGAACCTACTTGTAGAAGTAACACAAACTGAGATCCAGGGCTTCCTAGGTTCTTCCCACCACACATTTCACTGGATAAACAAACCACAGCTTTAGGAAATAATTACACAGAGTTTGCTGCAGGAAAAAGAAACAAACCAAAAAAATATGGTTTGGTGATCGTGTACTCAGTAGTGATCTTCTGTCATCACATTGTGTTGTGGATTTTGTTTGGATTTTAGGAGAAGACTCATATTCAGCAAGAGGGTAGCTCAGTCACAAAGACTGTTCAGTGTGGAGCAGAATGAAAAGGCAGCATTGATTTTTTTAAAATTATTATTTTATTTTATTTGTTTTGTTGCCAAAACCCCAACTGTCATCAAATTTGACAATATAACTGACAAGTTGACAAAGAAATAATAACAGCAGGTGCCAGGGACAGCAGTAAAAAAACAACTGCTAAAATGCACCTTCTGGAAGAACTGACATGTGGTGCTCAGGATTCTTAAAACTCAGACAGTTTGAATGCTCAGCATAACATTTCTTTTTGGTACTAGGTACTGTCATTTTTCAGTAGCTCACAGGTGAGTCTGGTGTTACCAGTGCCCACCCATCTTACCAGGGTCCAGGTCTGGATGTCAGGCTGGCAAACACACCAAATGTCCTCTTAGACAAAACCATTTTCCCAGACAAAGGATGATCTTACTGCAGATGCAAACTTTATGTTAATAAAGAATATTAGACTTTATGTTAAAGCAAATTCTGTTGCAGAGTAGTAATCCTGTGCCCTCAACAGATAGTCTGGAAACAACATTTTTTAGTCAAATTCCTTTGCCAGTGAGACTACAGCATGTGCATAAGTATAAAACCACATGCAATTGTGTTAAAATACTTGTGAAATCTACCAAATAAATAGGCCAGACTGCAAAAAATATTAGTGCCTCTTGCCTTGAAAAATGTAAAACCTAGAGATAAACAAGGACAGGTAATTTATTAGTCAAAAATATTATTCAGAAGCAAAAAAAAAAAAATCTGTATAGTTTTCTTCATGCATGGTTTCCCCAACTCTGAATGGTTTTAGCTCAATAGCAGTTAATTGTTATTTGGGGCTTGTGATGAAAAGTAATTAATTGTGCTGCTTGTCCCAAAAGAATTTCTTTTTACTGCTGCAAGTGTCCTGTGCTTTCCTCTCTACCTCAGCTACAAATTGTCTGCTCTGGCTAAAGCTCCTGTAATTGCCTTTTATTTACAATACAGAACAGGACTAGAGATTTTATTTTTTTTTTTTTTAAGCAAAATGTTTAGCAAAGCACTCTTTAAATCCTCATCTGCTGTTCTAAAGAGTGTTATTCTTATGCACTATGATTAATTAATTCCAACTTTGCAAGAGCCACTAGAATAATTGCTTCCTGCAGCTAAAGGCTGTGAAGAACAAGTTCCACCACTTGGACCAATGCTTGAAATTCATAGCTACATTCAAACAGATTTTCTGTTATTTACAGGGAATTAAGTGTGTCATTTAAGTTCCATTAATAATCATTACTCCTTGTCCACTCAGATGTGATTGTGTTGAAAGAAATGTGTTCTGTTTATCTTTAAATGACACCATTTCTGGTTTCCAGGGAAAGAAGATTGGAATGTCAGGATCACAAAGCTAAGAAAGCAAGTAGAAGAGATATTTAATACAAAGTTTGGTGAGTTAATTGTTAAATGAATTGTTTAAGAATGCTGCTGCATTTTAAAACACAGCTGTGAAAAGAGTTTTCTACTTTACTGTAGTTATTTGAACATCAGAAACGTACCAGGACAGATATGGAAATCTTGACTCCTCTTACCTACTTCTTACAGCCTCTTCCATATATATAACTGAGAGAAATGATTTTATAACAACATCCTAGGCCATAATTTTTCCAGTTGTGTGACAAGAAATGATGATACGTGCACAAAAAGCTGTGCATCATTTTTTAGATGAAAAAAAGAAAATATTAGGCACTGCAGGCTTAGGTGTTTTCTGTAACAAGACAGACCCAAGTCCCTGTTTGCAATTTTCTACAGAAAATAATAGAAAATCTATTTAAATATTTCAGTGAGAGCTTCTTAAAATCACTTGAGATAAAACCCCACCCATTCGAGTGTGTAAACTGTGATTCCATCTTTATTTTCAGCCCAAGCTCTGGGGCTTTCAGAGGCAGTGAAAGTTCCTTACCCTGTGTTTGAGTCCAACCCTGAGCACCTGTACGTCGAAGGCTTGCCAGAGGGAATCCCCTTCAGGAGCCCCACCTGGTTTGGAATCCCACGCCTGGAAAGAATTGTCCGTGGCAGTGGCAAAATCAGATTTGTTGTTAAAAAGTACGTTTGGAATTCGTTGCTTTAATGCCTGATTTTTAACTGACTTGCTTTTCTTCCCAGCAGCTTTAGGCTTTAAATGCTAATGGAATGGGGTCCATGAAACATAAAGAGAACTTTGCAGGTGTCTTTTATCTCATAAAGGATATACCTTCCTTATTAAACTGATATAGATGTAGGGATTGCATGTTTCATGCACCAAGGATCTAGGTGAAAAAATGGCCTTGGACCTGGAAACTTTTTGCCTCCTTTTATTTTTTTTCTTCCTTATTTTCTCTATTTTTTTTTTCTTGAAATAAACCCAGAAGAAAATTACAAAGCAGAAAATGTAGCTTTATATTTTCTAACTTTTTGTGGCTGTAGTAGATGGAGAGTCACCCATGCTTCCAGCAGAATTTTATTGTAGAGTTAATCTTATATAAATTTGAACTCAGCTAAATTCCAGGAAATTGATAACATTTTGCTGTATTGTTTTTTTCTTGCTTGTGTAATTGATTGGATTGTGTTCTGTTCAACTTGTAGGCCTGAGCTTGTAACTTCCTATTTGCCTGCAGGACTGGCTAGTAAAATAAACACTGAAGGTAAACAATTCAGTATTATTTGCTGTCATTAATTCATAAATACTTCCTGCTTCCCTAGTAGACTGAGATCTTTGTGGTTGAAAAACTTGGGTCTTGCAAACAAAAGGCATATTTAAGGTGTTCTAGCACAGTAGCATCTGAATCTGCTGTTATTAGAAAAAGTTACTCCAAACATAAATTCATCTACATTTTAAAAAAATTTATTCCAATGTAAAAAATTGAATTTACCCAATTTCAACAACTTTCATTTTGCTGTTAATGGCCTAAACCACATTTAGGTTACAGCTGTGAACTGAAGTAAATAAAATCAAGGTTTGTAAGAAAAGAATAAAAAAGAAAGAAAAAAAAATATAAAATTTTCAGAAGTTAGTAATTTTATTTACATAATAAATACCAGAGCTGTCCCTCACCCTTAGAAACAATGAAATCTTCTGTTCTGAATTAGTAGAGAGAAACTTTAGGTGTGATACCTGCCTTTTTCAAGAGTGCTATACCTAATTTTTAAGGCTGTGCCACTGTATAGTTCAGATTTTACTTTCCCTAGTACAGACACAAGGGATTCTTCAGTCTGCTGGGAGTTTCCAAATGCAGCTGCTCTGTCAGTAGCTGTGCAGGACACACGTTGCAGAGGGTCTGTGCATTACACCTTGTGTTATATTGACTTCCAGCAATGAGCCCAAAGAGTTCAAAAAGGTCACAAAGTCCTGCAGGCAATTCAGAGGTCCCAGAGATTGGAGTTACTGTAGAAGGTATGGAAGAAATCTCATCAAATCTTCTCGTGTTGTTCTTCTGTTCTTCTCAAGTTTTCTGTTCTTCTCAGTTTTCCTAGGCTGTGATTAACTACCACATGCACCTTATGTGGCAAACTCGGGTTCATTTCAGGGCTCCAGATACACTTTAATGTAGAAACAGTTTTCATTTTTGTTCCTGAATAATACTGGATTCTGTGCAGATGATGGTTATGTAAAATAATGGAGTCTGACAGCTTGCTTGAGCCTTTTATTTGGCTTGTTTGGGCCTATTCCAAGCAGAGATGGGGGAACTGATGGAGTCCTGAGCAGAAGAGTAACAGATGTGATCAGTAGTATCAAATGCTTAAATACAGCTCTAGAAGAACTTCTTAAGGGTTCTTTTTTTATTCAACTCTTGATTTAGTAGTTAACGTTTTCTCTAGTAATCGTTTGATGTCTTGTTCTTTTCATATTGCTTATTATTTATTCATATGTATCTTCATATTGTTTATTTATTTTAATATCCAGCTTGCTTCTGCTTCTGCATGTAGATATGTAACCAGTTTTACAGGTCCTAATAAACCACAAGCAGCAGATGTTCGAACTAATCCTCAAACCAATGGGGCCAATGTGAACATCAAGCCACGAGGAAGAGAGTTTTCTTTTGGTAAATGTTGTGGGAACTGGCACACGTGCTGTCTGTTCATGTTGGTACTGAAAGTCCTGGTGATTACTTATCAGAGATATTTTGAATTTGTTTTATTTTATTTAATGCACGACTGAAGTTCTTGTTTTCATGTACACTCAGTTCTTCATGTAGGATAATCTGCACTGGAGAAATCCTGGAGGATATATGAAGAGTGTTGTACAAATGCAGCAGAGTTCCTTTAAATCTTATTAATTTCGGTTCAGAATCAGTCCCTTTAGACTTTTGCTGCTTTATTTCCCAGGCCTGTGAAGGACTTGCCAGGTGCACAGGTCCACAGAGTGCATAAACTCAGCTGAGATCTGATACTGTGCATAACCTTACGTGCTCTACACACGTGAGATACTGAGCACTGTGCAGAGATGCCCGAGAGCTTGGTAGGAGTTGAACTAACATTAGTAAGCCATGATCTCTCTATCAGATCTGATTTTGCAAGATTTGCCGTTACAGATCTCTCCAGTTCTGGAAAATCAGGAAAGGAAAAACCAGGCAGGACTGGAAGCTGTGTAGTTGTGTTGGTGAGCATTGGACCAGAGCATTTTACCTGTGGAGGACCAGCCCTGTCTGTGCAGTGAAGCTTAGAGGTCTTTACACTGAAATCAGGGTCAATTTGCACCCCTGATAAAATTCCTCAGAGTCAAATAAAGTAAATTACTGTATTTAGAGTAACTGTGAGCAGTTCCCAAGTCTCATGATACCTTTTTTCCAGCATATTTACATTCTGAGTTATTTGCTTATATTTCTATAGAAGTTGGTTATTTGCTTTATTGCATTTGTCCCCCATGCTTTCTCCATATGGTCATAAAACATGAAATAAAGGAATTCTTTATTCCTACTGGGCCAGTTTAGAGGGAATATAAGATACTGGCATGGTATGACTGCTCTTTATGGCATGGCCAACATTCATGTTCAGAATGCTGTCCAGTTTTCTTGGACTTGCTTGTAACTGTTAGACTGAGGCTGCTTTTTTTTTAAAGAAGTCTACAACTTTTTTAAACTCTCAGCTGAATTTCCAGTTTCACAGACAAGCTATGGATCAAGTCTTACAGCCACAAGTAGGATGGTTTAGGAGTTGCTGCTGAAGGCTGTCAGAAGCAAAGTGCCTAGCTAGGTAGACATTTAACCTTCCTGAAGCTGAAGCTAGTGTGTAGTCCTTGAGAGAGAGGTGTGTGTTTCAGGGCTGTGTCACTGAGCCTGTCAGGAACTTTCTGCCACTATTTCAGGTGCTGGGTCAGATGAGTAAATTTTCTGCTGCCTGATGCTGTAAATTTGGCTCACTCTTGGGTTAATTTCAGTTTTAATCCTTGTTTTATCTAGTAGCAGTATCTTTTAAAGCTTTAGCAAAAGGAGAACTCATGTGGGTCTGGGTTTGGAGAGCAGCAGAATGTGTCGGTGCTGTTTGCAGAGTGAAAGCTGGTTTGTGCATTTTGCTGTCACAGTAAATTGGTTATCAAGCATAATAATTTATTAAACAGCTATTAAAATATTCATCAAGCCCTGATTCACTGTGTGAGTGTTGACTTAATTCTTCTGATTTCCTTCTGGCAGAGGCGTGGAACGCCAAAATCACCGACTTGAAGCAGAAAGTCGAAAATCTGTTTAATGAAAAATGTGGTGAGTTGATTTTCTTTTTTACTGAAATATCTTTCTTGGGAACGTGCAGTTAGACACAGGAGAGATACGTTCACATGTTTATTCCATAGGTCCTGCAGTCCTTGTGTACTCTAGGCAGTTTCTCCTTTGAGTTCATCCGTGCGTAGGTTGCTTTCAATTCTGTGTCATTTTTCCACTAGTTATTTTATTTGGGTTTGGAAATGGAGAAGTTGTGGTTGGATTACTACTTCTTTCATGACCCAGAGACGTAGTGACTCCACATCCTGGCACATCTTTTTAAGCTTTCTTGACTCTGCTTATGAATGGGACTTTGTATGACTTCAGCCTCTGCATGACTTGATGTGTTATGGCTGGTATCTGGTGGGATGTTCTCCATCCTATCCCAGCACTTCTAGTGCAGGCTGTTTGGAAGCTGTTGACTTCTGGAAGTTATGACTTCTCATTACTCTTTGGAGTGTGGTTTTTGGAACAAGAGCACTAATCTCACCTGCCCCTGGTGCTGTTCTCTAGCAGAGACCGAGTGCATTGCCTGTAACAAAGTGGAGTGGTCTTGTATGCAGACCAAGCCAGGGGCATCAGTTGGCTGCAACTCATCAATTTTGAGCTGCAAATTGTGATCAGATTTACTGCAACAGAATGGGTTATGTTTGAGGCTGTTCATTTTCTTCCTGCCTACTCATAGCTGTCACCAAAAAAGGCAAAGGCTCCTGGTCCCACCTAATCCAGTCTGTATGTGCCAGCTAGTATATATATACATATATATAAATACTTTTTATTTACCCAAAAGGGATGTAGCTGGTAGCTTATTGTCTCTCTTGCCTTTCAGGGGAAGCTCTGGGGCTGACAGAACCAGTGAAGGTACCATTTGCACTCTTTGAATCCTTCCCTGAGGTTTTCTATGTGGAAGGGCTACCCGAGGGGGTGCCATTCCGACGACCTTCCACTTTTGGGATTCCAAGACTAGAGAAGATCCTGAGAAACAAATCCAAGATAAAATTCATTATTAAGAAGTAAGACTTTCAGATGTGTTTCATAATCTATTCTATGAGAATTGATATGTAGACCAAAAATTGAAATTGTGGTGACAAGTTGCTAAATTATTCTACAAAGTACACACTGGAATATTTTTAGTAAATGAGGAAATGCTCAGAAAGCCCTTATAGAGGTGGAGCAAGATCCACAGTGATCTCTTTCTTCTGAAAGAGACTCCAAAACCTGTTTTGAGAGAAAGAGCAAGTCCAGACTTCTTGGCCCATTTCAGTCTAACATTGCTGGTATAGTTCCTACTGCATGAAGTGCTTGTGGGTTACTCATAAAACTTGCTGGCAGTGTACTAAGAGCTGAGAAGCAGAGATTCATGTACTGGGGGTTGTAAATTGATTTTTCTTGTCTAGAATAGTTTAGATACCCATGTGCCAGGTTAGAAACAGTGCCAAGAGAAGTTGTGGAGCCTCTCAGCTGTTGCATTCTTGGCTGTCTGGCTGAGAGAGCCTCACTTACTTCCTGTCTTTAATAAACTAATATTAGAAAATTGTATTTTCTTCAGTGCTGATTAATGTAATTTTATTGTTGCACTTGAAACTTTCAATCTCTTTGCAGGCCTGAGATGCTGGAGGCAGCTGTTAAGGAAATTTCTGCTAGAAGTCCCCAAAGTGAGTTTTGTAGCTGCTTAACATTACAGATAAGTCTCTTTCAAGGATTTAATACAAATCAGGAGAGCTGCATGGTGTTAATGAATTCCTGAAAGAATCATTTTGCATTGTGGGTGGTTTGCTTGTTTTTAAGGTGGGAAAAGCACTTACCAGTGACCATTTAAATACAGTTTTAGCAAGGGAGTATGAAATTTTGTAAGTTCTTCACAATAATCATGCCTCTGATACATTCTTGACTATCTCTTATCCAAATGTAATCAGTAATGTATGAGTCCCAGAAGTAACTCAGGTCTAGAGATAAATGGTGTGCCCTTAATACACAGGTCATCTACCACAAGTAGACCTGTAACAGATTTCTTCTGTGAATGCAGACAGTGAACATATGGATCAGGGGGTGTTACTGAATTAGCTGCAACTGCTAGGATTCATTTGCTGTTAATAAAAATACCAAAATATATGCTCCACATACTCTTCATTTTATTAATCCTTTTAGAAAATGAAGTAGGTAAAGATTAACATCTTTAATCTGGTTCTTTCTGCTCCTGGGTTAGGAAGACAGAGTAGTGTTTCCCTTCAATAAGTGTCTCAGTGGAAGCTGCTCCCATTTTGTAAGTGGAACTGGGTCTGCTTTGAAAAACTCTGCAATATTTTCTTTATACAGGACACAGAAGATTTTGAGCTCTTTGTGAATGTTTTTTAATTGAAATCTTTTCCTTTTAGGGAAAATTAATTCATCTAACACAGCCAATACAGCAAGCACCACAACAAACACAGCGGTGAGCACGGCTGCTGGTGTTGAAGATCTGAACATCATTCAAGTCACTATCCCTGGTGTGTGTACTGCACCTTCTGGGCTCCCATCCTGCTTCCTGTGCTGAGATTCTTCACTCCATTTGCTTAGTCTGCTGCAGTTTATTCCAACAGTCAGGCTGGTTCACTGAGATACAAGTGCAGTCAACAAAGAGCATAATTGAGCATTCTGGTTTTGCCAGGATGTTAAATGTTTTCTAACACACATGAATATCTGTTCAGTGGCATCTCTGGAATATTCTTGGTCCAGGCCCTAGTTAAGAAGTATCTATATTTTTCCCTTTTCCCCTCATGCAGTAAATTAAATATTGATTTGTCATTTTCTTGGCAACTTCAAGAGTTCAGTACTTGGGCTGAATTAAATAACCATGCAGCCTGGACTGCTTTGTCTGAACCCTGATTACCTCCTCAGGCATGTGTTGGGTATTTCAGAGACTTAACATGACATGCTGTGGCTGTATATTGACTGATCACTTTGCTTTTACCTTTCCCCACTATTCTATGTACTATAAGAATATAAATTATAATGTGTGGGTTTAGATTATGTTTACAAAATCATCTCTAGACAGTAAATCTAATGTTGGTTATGTAAATACTTGGAGTTTTTTCACAGATTTCTCTTAGCAGCCATCTGGGTTGGAGTATTTGTACAGTTCTGTGTTACTGCTCAAACTAGGAACAAAGACAGGGCCTGTTGTGAAGCACTCAGGTGTAGCTGCTTGGGGGAAACTTGCAGTGATGAACAAGCTTCAGGGGGAAAAAAAATTCTGATGTTCTTCCCATAATTTCTTCCAGATGATGAAAGTGAGCGACTGTCAAAAGTAGAAAAGGCCAGACACCTGAGAGAGCAAGTGAATGATCTTTTTAGCCGGAAATTTGGTAATTGCTTCTTCCTCCCTGCTGTTATAGAGGTGGAAATGCAGTTCATGTTCACACTAAAGTTACTGAATATCACATGGAGTGAGACATGTAATCATTACAATGAACCAGTTTGAGAATTGTGTAGGAATGTTGTGCTTTGACTTGAAAAAGAATCTTTTCTAAGTGATGTAGGTTGGTTGGTGTTTTAAACAAAAAAATCCTGTGGATTTCTTTATGGGGGGTGTGTCCCCCCTGTCTTCCTCTTCTTTTGTTGGCAGATTCTTCTTAGGGCTTCGTAATCTAGAGTAATTACTAAGTAATTTTCAAAAATGCTATTTAACCTTTTTCTGCTCTATAGTTTTCCTTTTTTCTTTGTATTTGCACTGTAGAGCATAAGGACCTGAGTTTCTCTGTCTGAACTTCCTTCACTAGGGCTGTGTTGGGTTGCATTTTGTGGCATTGCAGGGGAAGCTTTGCTTTCCTTCATGTAACTGTTCTATGGCTTTCCTTAGCAAAACAGAATCTGGATTCTTTATATGCAGAGCTCTCAGAGCTGGAGTTGTAACTAATGCTCTTGTAGTGATGCTTATGAGAGTAAACCAAAACATTTATTTCTAACACTGTAATGATTTCATTGTCAAGGGAATTTTCATAGTTTGGGGTCTGATAGAAAGCTTAGGTTTTCATTTAGTTTCTTAATCATCCTAAGACTTTTTTTTTCAATGTAATCATAAATATGTAGACTTAAAAATGAACATGGCCTCTCTCCCTTAGGTGAAGCCATTGGTGTGAATTTCCCTGTGAAAGTCCCATACAGGAAAATCACCATCAACCCTGGCTGTGTGGTGGTGGATGGGATGCCTCCTGGCGTGGCATTCAAAGCTCCCAGTTACCTGGAGATCAGCTCCATGAGGAGGATTTTGGAATCTGCAGAGTTTATCAAATTTACTGTCATTAGGTATGTAGTTGCCATTGGTTAGATTGTACAGATGTTGTGAGGACAGCCCTGTGGCTTGAATAAATTGAGATTTGAAAGGATAGTAGTTGCAGTGCAGTTATGTTAAGAAGCCAGAGTTAAGGTAAGCTCATGGATAAATGTGTTTCCCTACA